GTGAGTTGCTTCAGTGATAGATTTAATGTACCCTGGAATGAGAGTTTTGTTATCTCTTCTGGTATCTCTCCCGTAAAGTTATTGCTTGAGAGGTCTATTAGATCGACAAAGGGAATTATATTTGTATATTCATATTCTCTTCCTTTCAAAACCAACTCCATATGATCCGGCGATGGTATTTGCGTGGTTGAGAGCGTCCCATCAGAGAGAGTGGCCTTATATTTGAATTTTATCAAATTGCCAATACATCTAGGGATTGACCCGGATAAATTATTACGAGCAAGGTCCAAGATATAGAGATTGGGAAATTGGCATAGCTCTTCAGGAATTTTTCCAGTTAACACGTTGACTCGAAGTCTTAAAAATGACAGATAGAACACGTTTTCAGCACTTGGTATGGTTCCAAGGAATCTGTTTTCTCCCAGATCAAGAAGAAATAAGCCTGAGCAATTGTGTAACGAGGTAGAGACCTCTCCTAAAAGATTGTTACTGTTCACCAATTGAGCACAAATTGATGTTGAAGCAAATTTTTGGCATTGTCTGTATCCATGCAGAAGTTGTACATTTAAACTAGCCATATCAGTAGGAAGCAAAAGCTTTAATTCATGTCAGATTGAATGTAACATGATTTACAAACTAAGTTTTCTGTATAAAAAATGTGCAAGGTAGCAACTACTATGAGATTATGGATTCTTATAGAAGCAAATGCGTCTAGATCCATGTATCAGTTTACCTCAATCTTGAAATGAGATAGAGGTCGATCATTGTTTTGATTTTGAACATACAAATAGCTGGAACTACACTTTAAATTTTCAGAATACACATGACAAGCTATTACAGTTTTTAAACATATACATGGTTCACCCCTTGATTGTAAAAATCTTCATCATCTCCTTTTAGCATGCTTTATTAACTGCAACGACCTGGGCTGACACATGACGGAAGGATAAAGGAAAAACAGAACCAGGAAAAAAAGAATATAGTAAACAATCGAAGATTATTTTTACCTCTCCATATGGCTACTTCTTTATCTTTTAGATGTGTCTTCCCCGTAAACGAGCCTTGTAAACTTCAATGATCACTGAGAGCCTACCTTCATTACATCAATGAATCTAAAATAGGCATGTCTCCAAGACTTCTTAATCACCAAAGCACCGAAAACACTCCAAAATCCTACGGCAAATCCCAGTCCCATGCTGACGTAAAACCATAATTTTTCGGACCCATCTTCATCTCCATCTTTGTCTTCTGTACCCTCATAAATGGACAGATCTTGAAAGTCTGGAACTGGTTGGTTGATGGAATCGGTCCTGAAAAGTTATTGTATGAGAAGTTCAAATGGGACACAAGAGTCATAGAGGACATCGTTGGAGGAATTGGACCTGAAAGACGGTTACATGACAGGTCAAGAGACTCCAACTTTTGCAAGCTTCCGATATTCTCCGGTATCTTTCCCTGCAATTGGTTCCATGACAGATTTAAGGTAAATAAAGCTGAGAGATTTGTTATCTCTTCAGGTATCTCTCCCACTAAATTGTTTCCCGCGAGATCAATGACCCTTAGAAGTGAAATTATCTTCGTATAGTCATTTTGTCTTCCTTTGACAACCAACTCCACATGCTCAGAGAACTCTATGTGTAGGTTGAGAGTTCAGATCCAAAGTAAAAGCCCGGAAGTTTGAATGCTTTCAGATTGCCGATAAATCTAGGGATGGATTCTGATAAGTTATTATGTGCAAGGTCCAAGTTGTGGAGATAGGGAAATTGGCATAGTTGTTCAGGAATATTTCCAGTTAAAAGGTTGGATCTGAGCCCTAAATATTACAAAAATGGTAGATTCTGTATATTGGAAGGGTCCCAAAAAATCTATTTTCACCAAGATCAAGAGCATTAATATTCGCGCAATTTTGCAAGGCGATAGAGAGGTCTCCAGAAAGATTGTTACCCCTCAGTTTCAACCAGCCAAGAAAAGGTAGCGAACAGAGAGAGCTAGGAAATCCGTCTGATAGCCTGTTGTTTGACAGGTCTACAACAGTCAGTTGTTCTAACCCCTGCCAGTTTGAAGGAATTTCTCCGGTCAAGTGATTATTAGATAAGTCTAGAAAAGACAAATCCCTGATTTTATTTATGGATGGTGGAATGCTACCAGTCAGATGGTTTTGCGAAAGAGCCAGACTTCTAAGTATTGGCAATTCCTGACCGAAGTTTATTGGAATTGGTTCTGTAAGTAAATTATTTCTCAATGAGAGTCTTGTGACGTTTGACCACAGCGGTGATGAACCCATGAACCCTCCAACCTGTTGAATCCCAAATCAATCAAGGCACCAGTCTGATTAACATGTATTGACTTAGGTAGCTCTCCTCTTAATTGATTTCCTGAAAGATCTAACCACCAACGCCATGGTGATAATCTCCAAAGCCAATCAGGTATAGTGTCTGAAATTTCAGCGTTTGAGAGTGCTAATTCAGAAATTTCTTCTTGAGTTCTAAGCCAAGAAGGAAATGCAGGACCCAAATGGCAATCACTGATTGCCATGGTATATATACTGAAGGGAGGAATCCAATCGTGTCTCACATTAACCAGTAAGTTGCTTGTACATGAGAAGGATAGATAGTTTTACCTAGTTGCTTGTACATGAGAAGGATAGATAGTTTTACCTTGTGAGATTTTTGAGATTATTTTCAGTGATGACACCATTCCACGAATTCCCATAGAGACGCAATGCGTTTAACTCTGTAAGCTGTCCTATACCTTCCAAAATCATCCCATCAAATCTGTTAAAAGATAGATCCAGTGTTTCCAAAAGGGACAAATTTCCTATAGACGATGGAAGTGGGCCTAAGAACAAGTTTTGGGATAGATCAAGATGTTCCAAATGCTTAGACTGCCCCACAGAATCAGGTAGATTTCCACTGAGTTTATTTGAACCCAAATCCAAGGTCATCAAGGTTCTGTTATTGCATCAAGACAAAGCCTCCATAAACTCTTGTATTTCACCACTAATGCCATTATTAGAAAGATTTACAGTAGCAAGGTGCACAGGTTTCCCCATGGAACCTTGGGGATGGAACCTGAAAGTTTATGTTAGATCACCATACGCAAGGTTATAAATTGAAAGGCAGAGTAGGAATAGGCATTAAGGTGCACTGAGTGTGACGTGACATTGAATGGGAGAGTGGTGAGTTTATTATGAGTATGGAGAGTTTGTATAGAAAGTAACACGTGGCTGATATCGGTTAATACAGAATACAATAATTAGTATATAAAGAGGATGGGAGAGGCAGATATTATCGAGTAACATCTTCATAGGACAAATTGGGAGGCCCTCAGCTCCTCGAACTGCTAGGAACCTGCTTGTTGAATGAATGCTCTTTCAGGGGATATTTCAATCCTAATTAACACTATTTCGTTTTTTCAGATTGTGCAGTTGTTTGCTATTGTGCTTGTGTTGCGGTTGTTGTTTGGATTTGTTTTACAGGGAGTTCCAGTTCACAACCAACAAGTTTGATATTCAAACTGTACTTATGTTGAACAACCATGGGCAATGGAGAGCTGAAGTTGTTATAAGATAATCGAGGATGGACAGTGAAGTAAAGTTAACAAATGGAAGAGAATAAGGGAAATTGTGAGTTCACAGCCAGCTCCAAGAGTGAAGGAAGCAGTAACTCGTTGCTTTACAAGATTAATTTTCCTAAACTAAGGTATTGCAAGGATGAAGACCACAAAGCCAGTTTAAATCTGAGACCCGTAGCTTTTTGATATGAAAGTGTAGGCATACTGAGATCAAGGTACCGCAAGGAGAGGTTTCAAGACTTCATCCAGTGAATGATGCCTGGGAGAGGTGAGCAAAAGAGAGTGTACCATCAGGATCACCTGTATTTTATGTGAATGACATGTATATTTTGAAAAATATATGAATTGCTATATAGTTTCAAGGTGAGCAAAGAGAGCGTGTACGGGAACTTATCGCCCTCACATTTATCTTGGAACTTGCGCCAGTAGCTTCTCTGCCAAGAATTTCAGATTTGCGGGTGTTTAAACGATGCGTTGTAATTATAATTTTACTTACATTGGAGGGACTCCCTATCATGTGGATTGGTGTAAAGGATGGAAAATATCATATGTGCTAGTGTGTCAAGACTCTGATGAGCGAGCAATATGGCTAGATCTCCATATAGTCGTGAGTTTGGACATCAGGTGTTGGTTGACCATGACATGACCTTGGAAACAAGTGTATTGAAATCCAAGGAGAGGCAGTGGCTATGGAGGAGAATGGCAGTTCGAATTGGTGTGAAAATTGAGAGTAAGTAGCTGCAGTTTTAGTATTAACGTACAACATGTTTAGTATACTATGTGAAAAGTGAAATCTAAATGGAATAATGGTATGATGTAGATGTGTGCCACTCTCTCGTGTTTAGCCCCTTGTATGAGGTCTCTGCTAAGTGTTTTGAATTTCTTGGGACTACTTATTGTTGTGTGTTCTTTTGGCTGAATAAAAGGGATGCCTTCAAAAGAGAAGCAGACCTGTAAGAAGCAAAACTGAAATCCTTCACAGGTCTTGTGCAATAGAAATGGTGTGATCTAGGGACTTAGTTTTCTCTATCAATTAAGTGCAAGTACTGGGGTTCATTTTTTTTTTTTTTTTGTCTTCGAGTTATGATGTGTTGTGAACAATATCAGACTTCTGAAATCAGTGGAGGATGTGCAGATAATAACTAGTATTACAATTGTTGATCTTATGGAAGAACTTCTCAATTGTTTATTAATTTACCTTAGTCTGGAAATGATAAAAACCAATGTTTTGATTCTTGAAGTAGGAAACACCATTTTACAGGATACATACAATACGTGACCAGTTTTATCAGAGGTTCATCATCCTGCCAACCTCTAATTATTGTGCCAACCAATGAACCAAGATAATATGGTAAAGTAAAACAGAAATAGGAATTATAGAAATGAGCCTGAGGAGAACAGCTGATGTGCATGATTTCGCTTCCTCTGTACAGCTTTCTTCAACTTGGCATTTCCATTGTACTATCATTTTCAGTCCACTTATGTTCACCACGTTTCTGCCATAACCACACATAAATGATTTAAGATCTAAATGAATTGAAAATAAAAGACTGCAAAAAATTGGAGATCGCGTTTACCTTTCTCACTCTGGACCTCTTTGGACATTCTCTTTATCATTTAAATACAGCTTTTTCCGTAAACGAGCACGTGAATGCAATGATCAGTAGGAGCTTATCTTTCATTTCAAAGAACCGAAAATAGGCGTATCTCCAAGACTTTTTAAACATTAAACTGCCACAAAACAGCCCAGAATTACGATGAAACCCAGTCCCATGCTAATAAAGAACCAAAATTTTTCAGACTCTCCATCTTGTATTCTGTGCCTTGTCTTCCCATGCCCTTGGCTGATGGCAGTTTGTTTGTCAATGGAGGACCACAAAGGTTAAGGGTTACCTTCATACATGGATGGTTCAAGCAAACTCTGTAATTGGCGCGTTGATGGAATCTGTCCTGAGAAGTTGTATAGGAAATTCAAATGATTCGAGAAAGATATTGAAGTCATGCTTGGAGGGTTATTGGACCTGGAAAGATGGTTTCCATGAGAAGTCTCGAGTCTCCAGTTGTTGCAAGCTTCCAATGTTTTCCGGTATCTTTCCTGTGAGTTGGTTCCATGATAGATTTAATGTGCCCATGAATGAGAGATTTGTTATCTCTTTTGGTATCTCTCCCGTCAAGTTATTGCTTGAGAGGTCTATGAGATTGACCAGGGGAAAAATCGTCGTATACTCATCTTCTCTTCCTTTCAAAACCAGCTCCACATGTAGCGAGGATGGTATCTGTGTGGCTGAGGGTGGCAATTCGAAAAGAATGGCCTTATATTTGAAAGCTTTCAAACTGCCGAGACATTTAGGAATGGACCCGGACAAATTATTATGAGCAAGGTCCAATATATGGAGATTGGGAAATTGACATATCTCTTCTGGAATGTTTCCAGTTAACATGTTGGCTCGAAGTCTTAAATATGACAGATAGAGCATGTTTTCAGCTACTGGTATGGAACCAAAGAATTTATTTTCTCCCAAATCAAGTAAAGCCAAGGGTGCGCAGTTCTGCAAGGTAGTAGAGAGTTCGCCCGAAAGATTGTTACTGTTGAGTTTCAACGACATAAGACTTGGTTGTGAGCATGTAGAGCTGGGAATGCCTCCAGATAATGTGTTGTTTGACAGGTCCAAAAACATCAATCGCTCTAGACCATGCCAGTTTGAAGGGATTTCTCCAGACAGATAATTGTTTGAAAAGTCAAGAGAACTCAAATTCCTCATTTCAGTCATGGATAGCGGAATGCTCCCATTTAGAAGGTTTCTAGAAAGATCTAAGTTCCTCAAGCTTGACATTTCATGGCCAATGTTTGAGGGAATTGGTCCCGTGAGGAAATTGTTCCTCAAATAGAGATATGTTACATTTGGCCAGAGAGGAAGTGAACCCTCCAAACGGTTGAATCCCAAATTAATCCATGCCTCATGACTTACACTTACTGTGTGGGGAAGCTCACCTCTTAACTTATTATGAGAAAGATCCAACCACCAAATATTTGGTAATAATCTCCAAAACCAATCAGGTATGTTGTCTGAGATAGAAGCGCTTGAGATTGTTAATTCAGACAGACGCACTTGAGTTATAAGCCAGGAAGGAAACGCAGGAAGTTGGCAACCGCTTAATGCTAAGCTCAATAGACTGAAGGGAGCGATCCAATTGGCCTCCACGTTGAAAACCAGAGCATTGCCCTTTGATGATAAGGAAAAATCACGCAATCTTGTGAGATTCTGTAAATGATTTTCGGTGATAACACCTTCCCAAGAATTCCCATGGACATTCAATTGATGTACTACTGACAGTTGTCCAATATTTTCCGGAATTGCACCACTCATCTTGTTAAAAGAAAGATCCAGTTTTCCCAAACGCGACAAATTTCCTATAGATGTTGGGAGTGGACCTAAGAATGAGTTATTGGAAAGATCAAGCCAGTACAAATACTCAAAGGACCCTATGGAATCAGGTAATCTACCACCGAGTTTATTAGAGCTCGAATCAAACCACCGCAAGGTACTGTTGTTGCATCCAGACAAAGCCTCAATAAACTCTTCTATGTCACCATTGATATCATTGTGGGAAAGATCTAAAGTTCGCAAGTTGCACATGTTTCCCCGTGGAACAATAGGAATGGAACCTGAAAGTTCCGACAAAGAAATGACGACATCCGAAAGTGAACTTATATTGAATAACCATTGAGGTATCGGTGAGTTGAAGTTGTTACCAGAGAGATCGAGGGTGGAAAGTGAAGTAAAATTAATAAATGGAAGAGAATAATGGATATTATTGAGCCCACAGCCGCCTAATTCCAGTTCTAAAAGTGAAGGCAGCATATTAATAGCTGGCAGCCAATCAGTTGTTGACATACTGAGATTCGTCCCTGTTAAGTGGAGGTATTGCAAGGAAGAGAGACCTGAGAGCCAGTTTAAATCCGTGACCCACAGTTTTCCAGAACTGAAACCGTTCGAGAGATCAAGGTACTGCAAATTTGACAGATTCCCAAGACTTGGAGGGACCATTCCAGTGAAGGATGCTAAAGAGAGGTCAAGGTACCTCAAATTCTTTAGTGAACCTATGAACTCTGGGATTGGAGTTTCATAGAAACCGTTGTGGCTGAGATCCAAGTAATTCAAATATGTCAAGTTAAGCAAGGAAGGACTTAACGTACCACTCAGGCATGATTTATTGTAAGGTGCTGCTTCATTGTCTTGAAAAGCTTCACAGACATCCGGAGATTTGAGGTCAATACTCAAAACATTCCCTGTCTGGTTGTGACAAGCTACACCAACCCAATTGCAGCAATCATCTCCAACCCAAGAAGAAAGCCAACCTGAAAGATCAATAAGATCTTCTTTGAATTTCAGGAGAGCTTCCCTCTCCATCTCAGCACATCCAACAGTTAAATTCCCAGCACTGGAATTCGACCGTTGAGCTTCAAGGAGCTGACATGTTAACAAAAGAAGGAAAAGGATTATAGCAAGTTGAAAGGTGGAATCTCCTCTAGCCATTTCTACTTTCAGGATAAAATATGGAGGACGAATAGAATATGAGGTATATATGATGGTACTAACTTGTTAATATGAAGGACATTTTCTAGTTTATTCATCAAGTTCAGCTTTCAACTTCCGACTTTTCATATCACATTAATCAGATAATTAATCTAGTTTATTTATATTCTTCGTTCCAACAATATAAAACTTCAACTTCGGAGAACATACACCAGAAATTTCCGAGTGTCACCCTAGGATTTTGATGATGCCGGCCCTATAGAGGTGCGAGGTCCACATTTTGACTTACGAAACAAGAGAATACATTATTATATAGATTGAGATCATCGGATTCTCTCTGGCTTAGAAAAAATGTGAAAAAATAATTCCGTGAAGTCAATTCATTACTCGGAAACCAATGTAATACGACGGGTCTCTCCATAGTTTAATATGTTTTCAGAAAGGTCCAGATTTTGGTATGGAAAACACGTTATCAGAGGGAATTACCAGGATACATCCTCTCGTAAAACAAAAGACCATCAAGTCAAGTCTTGACAAATAAAATATGAAGGATCTCCATGGTTAGATGTCTATCTATTGACTCTCTGAAACAGCTGAACCTTCCTGTGGTTCATCCTTTTGACTGCGTAAAACATCAATTTCTTAAATTTATATACCTTCACAGCATTTCATGTTTGATTTATCTCATTTCTTAAAGTTTTATTAGAGTTGTATGAACATTCCTTGACAAATGACAAGTCTCCAATCGGATTAATATGCCATGAAATCATAATTCATCAAAAGTACTTATTTACTGATCAATCTTGCATAGTTTTAATAGTTTACAAGAGTCTCCTTCCTTTCCCTTCACCCTCATTGGACTTAAAATATTTCACCAGCCTCGCCTGGTGCAGTGGTGCTCTGCTGCAGTTGTAGGCTTAGATTCGGAAGCTGCTTTCCGTGGATCTAAAACTTGTTTATTGTTTGGCTTCTTAAAATTTGAGTTACCAGTGACAGTAATCAGTAATCACTTGAAATTTAACTCTAGTATTTCCAGGACGGCAACGATGGGCCGTAACAGATTCTTGAAAGCCCGGTAATCTGGGCCTGGTCTAAGCCGGAGCCCATAAGCCCAATTACCATGCACCTGAATTTTCTTCGTCAACTTATCATTTGTATAAGCGGGACTACTTCCGCTTCAGTGACCGGAGAACCGAAACGGTTCATCAGAATCACAGTCGAAAAATGACTGGAAATGGCCGAAGAAGTGCACGAAGCAGAATCAAATCCTCCACTGATGGAGACGAAGGAGAGCCTGTCCGTCCCAGAAGGACTAACGTTAAAAACCGTAGAGATCACAGTCCACTTCGCCTTTTCAGCTTTGATGTCAGAATCATGCTAGGCTTAAGCATTTTCTCTTTCTTAACAATTTCGTTTCTGATTTATCGTCTCGTTAATTCTATACAAGAAGCCGATACACCTCGTGTTGTTACGCCTTTTCCTGCTCCCAAACTCATGGACCTTCATATGGTAAAACTCGATTTCATGATCACCTATATATTTATTTTTATGTGAATGACATTTATGCTCCAGTTTCGTATTTTTATGTGAATACACTTATGTTTCAGTTTCAAGGCGAGCATAAAGAGAGCTTGTACTGGGGAACTTATCGCCCTCACGTTTATCTTGGAATTCGTGCCAGGTACCTCTTCTCACTTGCTAAGAATTCTGTGATTGGAGTGTTTAAACGATGTCGTAGTAATTACTAGTTTGTTACTTACACTGGAAGGACTCCGCGATCTTTGGTTGCTGGCTTGATGTGGATTGGTGTAAAGGATGGAAGATATCATATGCGCCATGTGTGTCAAGACTCTGATGAGCTGAGCAAGTATGGGTGGACTCATCATAATGGTCGTGATTTTGGACATCAGGTTTTGGTTGACCATGGCATGACCTTGGAAACAAGTTTTTTGAAATCCAAGGGAGATGGCTGTGGCTATGGAGGAGATTGGGCAGTTCGAATTGGTGTGCAAATTGAGGAGTAAGTAGCTGCAGTTTTAGTATCTGCTCTCACGTTTGCTTACAATATGTTTAGTATATTTTTGTGGTGCACATTAGACAATCATTCAGAATTTGTAACATGATTTCTGATCTCTTGGTCAATTCACAGATCTGAACGGAATAATGACATGCTGAGCAGTGGACATCTATTTTTCTATTTGGCTGATGAAGAAGGAAATGCTCTAACTTTGAGTAGGGATAACGTAGATATTCATGAGAGTTCTCTCCTGGTAACAGGTTCACGAATGGATGTCGGGGCTTGGCAGCTACACTTAAAAGCAATGGTAATATGGCAATGGTTTGCAGTGGTGAAAACCGTTGATTTATTTTTACTAGTATTGTAGTGGTATGCATTAAAGGATTAAGTGAATAAGCTCCCAAAGTTCTCTGTCTACTTGCTTAATGTGTATCCAAGCAACTCTGCCATTTACCTTGCCTCCCATGGCATGTGCATAAATTTCCATATCTTGCCAATTTTTTAGTAAATTATCACCATAATAGTATTGATATTAATCTTTAATGTTTTTCTAACATGCTGATATGGATCCACCTTGCAGGATGATTTGGAAGTCCATTATTCTGGTTTCAGGAGTCCTCATATTCATAACTTATCTGAACTTGTTCTAGAGAATCTTGGAGCCCAAGTATGTTAGATTTCATGAGTATGACCCTTTTAAATACCATAATTATGTTATAATGTGAAAGAGCTATGCTTCTTTTAAGTTTCCTTCATGGTTCTTGTCTTGATTTCTCTGTTTCTTTGCATGCATGTACCAGGCAAGAATGTTTGGTCGTCTGCAGTTGAGTGACACATCAGTTCATTCTCCAAACATTTTAGTTTTTCAGGTATGTTGTCATGGAAGGGATGGTTATTAAATCAGTTACCTTGAGGTATATCAAATTATCATAAGCATTTCATAATCATGAGTTTCATCTGCGGTTTCATCTCTCACTTAATTTATATTGGGGTTTTTATTCTTTTGCAGATTTCTGCCAGGATTCCATTCAAAGCAGATATTGCTTTTATATCTGGAACTGGTGTAAAGAACTCAAGGGTAGAAGAACGTGTAAGCAGCCTTACAGGTTTTTTCTACATCTATTTAATCTGAATAATGTGTTAATGGTTTGTTTGGTACAGTTTGAAAGTGCTAACTTTCTCTCTTAAGTCCATTTTGTTTCTCTTTTGGATTACCCTCTTTCACTATGCTTTCTTCTGAGTTCAATGCTTTTCAAATTTCCCTAGTTATCTAATTCTTCAAAATTCTATTGGGAAAGCTTTTTTCCCCAATGCCAAGTTCAAAGGTTCCCTTTTCTATAATTACTCTCAATGAAAAGCAAAAGGTGGTGCTCATTAGTGTGTGCATGGGTGGTTTAAGGGGGGTGAGCAGGTGAACAAACATCTTCCTTTGCATCTATCTTCTCTGTCTCATTTTGACTGAAGATGTGGCTCCCTTCAGTTGGTAGTTTAGGTGTTAACTGAATGGATAATGGATATGCTTACCTTGTATTAATTACTGGATTTGCATTCTTTAATTATACTTCTGCACATATGACTAGGCTGTGCAATCATGGGGATCTTTCAGTCCATTTTGGGCTATCTAAATTCTATCTATTCTTTGCATATGTATTTTTATTTTGATTTTTTATTTAGATCTTTGAATTTGTTATAATGTTAGTTTTATATTAAGGGTTTATATACTTGTTAACAAGTTTTAACCATTGTTTTTATCATGGTGTCCATATTTATTATTTCTACTTCTATACTAAAAGCAAATGTATGCAACCAACATGGATAAAAATAATTTTTTCCACAATTCTTCCACATTTTAACCGGTTTAAATTTCTTTGAAGTTCAGACTTTCAATGTGTTTTTCTGTAAAGTGGGTGGTTTCTGGTATAAGTTTCTATGTAGTTTTATGTTTTTAGGCTGACTTAATGGAAAGTTTTATGTGTTGGCTTCAGAAACAGAATTTTTTTCTCCTCAATTTTTATTGGTTTTTACTTTTTATTATTTAGGCACCTCACTGACTAGTCTACTCAAAGAGAAGCAACATGATTTTGATGCCAAATTCGAGAGGTGCTTTAACCTGGCAGAAAAGGTAATGATAAACACTCTGCCCTTCTCAAGGAGTATATGTACTACCATTTGAAACCCTGCAATATTAACAAATTTATCTTCTGATTTTCCTAGGATAAATGTAATGGATGTATAGTTTGTGGTCTAATATATTTTTACTTAAATGTCATTTTTTCTTTTCTCTTGAAGTGGTTCTTTTGTGCAACCAGATTTTCATTCTTCTTTATAAAAGTTCTAATATTGTTGTGTTTTATATTTCAGCTTGATTCTGAATCCATAATTGTTGGAAAGGCTGCTATAGGGAATATGTTGGGTGGCATTGGCTACTTCTATGGCCAATCAAAAATTTCATTACCCAAAAGTTCTAAAGTGAGTTATTTGTATTTGTTTCTTATCTTATTTGTCTTGCATATCTTATGTACCAGTTGATCAGTTTTTATGATCATGTGACCAATTCATTGTTTCAAGTTGAACATATTTTAGGTTATTGATTTTTAGGGAGCTCACTTATCTTTCAGTTTCCAAGAATAATTTTTCATGAACTGATATCTGGAATGTTATGTAAGAATGGTAAAATATGGTTGAAATGTAGTTTGATATTCTGTTATAATTTCCAAGCTAGGCTGCAATGGTATGTTTGACTGTAAATAAAGGGAAACCAATCTAATTTCTAATTTTCCCTTTTCCATTAGAAAATTAAGTAACTAGATAAGCATGATTTCATTAATCATGTTTCATCTTCTCTAGTCTCGTCATCAATTCAACTGAGTAATGCTATACTTTCCAAGTTTGTTTCCAAATTTATATTGTGGCATTGATTTTGGGATGTCATATCACTTGCCATATTGTTTCATCATCCATATAATAAAATAATCCAAAGCAATGCAATATTACTTGAGATAAAATTTAGGGTACCAACTTAAGAAGTATGGTATTCTTATTCTTCGACTAAATACTGTTGGTGAATAATGATCTATCATCCAGTTCAACTAATTTCTGGATTCCCTTTTTGTCTCAATTTGTGTTCAGAAGTGTAGTAAAGATGAAGGAACTATCAAATTAGAAATGAGAAAATTAATAGCTGGTGGTCAGGGTCTAGGTTCTTTTGCTTTAAGCTGTTAATATTTTTGCTTATGTTCACTTCTTTATTCTTATATTTGATAAAGTTACAAAAGTGGCTATTTTCTTTTGCAGCTTAAAAGTCATGATAATTTCATTTTATATTGGCCTGCCGAGCTTTATACTGCTGTCCCAAGTCGACCCTTCTTTCCAAGGGGTTTTCTTTGGGATGAAGGTTTTCATCAATTATTGATCTGGTTGGTTTCCTATTACTTACAGATCAATTAGTGTAAATTTCACGTCTCCTGCTATTTTAGAAAAGGAATATGCTAATTTCTATATAATATATCGTTAAATGGACAATTTATTCAGGTTAACTGATCATTTTTGTTGTTTTATGTGTTGTTTATTAAATTTTGAGCAGGCGTTGGGATGTCCATATATGCTTAGATATTATTGGACACTGGTTAGATTTGATGAACATTGATGGATGGATTCCCCGGGAGCAGATTTTGGGTGCTGAAGCTCTAAGGTGGCTTGGAGTATCTAATTCAAGTATGTCCAGTAAGCTTCTTGATTTAGGTTTGTCAGGAAAGTAATTTCAAATTCATTCTGGTGTAATTGCAGTAAGGTACCTGAGGAATTTGTTCTTCAGCATCCAACTAACGGAAATCCACCGACTTTATTTATGGTTATACGAGGTAACTTTATTTCCAGTTAAATTATTATATGCCTGTGCTTGAAAGTTTAATTTCATCTTAGCATGGATCTGACTTGCATAGATATACTATTTTCTTACACAATTACCTTTTAATAACAGAAGAGATTTCTGTGATCTTATGAAGGTGAGTATCCTCAAAAGCACATATGTACAAGTTCTTGGATTCCTTGTGTTGTCTTCTCTGTATCCAAGCTACTATGATTAAAGCAGATATTTTGTTTTCAATTTTTTTTTTTTTTTTTTCTTGTTCAATACCAGAGATTAGATAATTTGATAAACTATTTCTTTGTATACTTCGCATATCCACATATTGTCTGGATGAACATTAATGTTGTACTTTATACATGATCTGAGATATGGTATGAAAATTTGCTCCTTTCAGAACTAGTTTATGGCTTGAAGAAAAACAAATTTACTGCTACAGAAAGCAATGATATCTCTTCCTTTTTAGAGCGAGCTCTTATACGCCTTGAAAGATGGTTCCATTGGTTCAACACTACTCAGTCAGGTAAGTCTGGGTTTCTATTCAATCTTCCATGCAATACATATGATTGTAGTTTCAGTGTGTTTCTAGCTCTAAAGGTTACCTGCATTGTTCGATATCGAGTTACAAGTTATTGATATTTTAGTATTTATTAATCTCAAAGGAATTTTTCTGGTAGAATACTGGTATAGGATTTGTGTAAACCTTAAAAAGGGCTTGGGCTTAAGACTTTATTGAGTTTTTGACTGTCATCATGGTTAGAGGTTCTTTGAGGTGTACAATTGAATCATTGATTATGAGATTTAGAGAAGACAATTTACATTTTTAGTGAGCTGGGATGTTGGTCTTTCTGAGTTTCTCATTTATTTGGGGTTATCACATTTAAAAAGCAGGAAAGGAAATGAGCAGCTATTTTTGGCATGGAAGAGATAGCACAACAATACGTGAACTAAATCCAAAGGTTCAATTCTACAGCACTCTATATTTGAAGGCCTTTCATAGTTTTGATTTTGGATCTGTTTAGAGGTTATAACTAGGGTAACCTGCACATTTCGCTTGAATTTGTTTAGTCACTGATGCTCAAAATGAAATTTGGTTCAGAAAATTTTCAGATGTTGAAGATAAGTTGGTTAATTTATATTGTTTCTGACATCTCCAGACTCTATCCTCTGGGCTGGATGATTATCCTCGTTCTTCACATCCTACTGAAGAAGAACGTCACTTGGACCTTAGATGCTGGATGCTCCTTGCTGCAGATTCCCTGCATTCCATTGCTGACTTGTTTGCGAAGGAAAGCAAACGAAAAAAGGTATAATAATGAGCAAGCCTTTCTAAATACTAAATCCATATTTAACTTCATAGACCTTGAAAATGAAATGATGCAGGAATATGGTTCAACAGCTAAGCTGCTTTCAGATTTTGAAATTCTGAATCAGGTATGTTCATCTTTATCATCCTGTCTGAAATTGTTTTTCATTCCTTCACATTCAAATGGCTTCATATGGTACTTTGTAATGGTAATATAAACAATTTCTCTATTGTAATATTGGTGTAATGTTCTAGATAATTAAATCCTTGTGGCTACACATCAGTTAGATACGTTTTAAAGCATACCTTTTGGACTAATCACTGACATAGTTCAGCTTTTTATGTCATCTGTGTTTGACATTTTACCAGATGCATTTTGATCCAGCTTACGGAGCTTATTTTGATTATGGAAATCATACAGAAAAGGTATGCTGCTTTTCTGTTACCGTTCCTGTCAGAATAAAGAGCAGTTTTCTTGAATATACTCACACTTACTAATTGGATGGTGCATGTTTAATCCACCATTAGTGAAAGATATTTTAAGATAATTTTACCCATATACAGATTTGAATGACGTCGGCTTTCCAAAGGTCACCAGTTAAGTGTATATTCAATTTTGTGGTTATGTTTAAATCTGGAAATATTTTTTGCTTTTGTGTAAATGTAAAGAAGCTCTTCCATTTCTCTGCATGCTAGGCCTAGAGCATATCAGTCCTTGAGGGGACAGTTGCTTATTTAGGACTACAATTTGCTAGGCCTGTAGCATGTAACGAAGATGTAGAGTTGCAGGCCCAAGTTTAACTTGCTGCAGTCCTTATTGTTCTACCACCAAGAAGTAGATGAGCATCTGTTGCTAAACAGATTTTTGAGCCATGATCTGTAAACCTATGCCTTAGCTTTTGAAATTTGCCACTAGTACTGATTGTTGGTTCTATCATTCCAGGTTCGTTTAAGTTGGAAAGAAACAAAGGTGGGAAATAACCATCCAACTCGTGAGCTTGTAAGGGAAGTACTAGAAAAGCCAGAGCTGAGATTTGTTCCTCATATTGGTTATGTCAGCCTTTTTCCATTCATGGAGAAGATTATTCCACCTGTAAGCTGCATAGAAGATCTAATGTTGAAAATATTTTTTATCAGTTTGATAGACCTCTTGCCGTAGTTATCATTTGTAACATGGTAGCAGACCACTCATGTTTATTGATTGATTCAGGAATCATGGATTCTGGAAAAACAGCTTGACCTCATTTCAAATAAGAGTATCTTATGGACTGATTATGGACTCCGCTCGCTTGCCAAAACAAGGTGATTTTATATAATTTACCCCTGCTCATATGTCTTATATGATTAATTTCCTTTTAGTATCTTGCTTGTTACTAATTCTAGAATTACTTAAATCTAAAATGTTATCTTAAATGCCACAGCTCCATGTACATGAAACGCAACACAGAGCATGACCCACCTTATTGGAGAGGTCCAATTTGGATGAACATGAATTACAGGATTCTTTCTGCACTCCACCATTACACACAAGGTATAAATTCCTTCAACCCTGAAACATCTACCTTCCCTGACATTTAGTCTCCTAAATTAAATGATTGAAATTCCTGCAGTGAATGGACCGTATAGAGACAGAGCGAAAGCAATATATGATGAATTAAGGAGCAATCTGATCAGGTAACTTCATATTGCCTAGTTTGCCTACCTATATATCCTTGCACCTTACCTGAACTTGTCAGTTAGTTCCAACCTTTTTTTACCTCGATCCTGCAGAAATGTGGTTAGCAACTACCACCAGACTGGGTTTCTATGGGAACAATATGATCAGAAAAAGGGTAAAGGAAAAGGTGCTCGTGTATTCACTGGCTGGACATCACTTGTGCTATTAATGATGGCTGAAGGTTATAGTGAGAGTTAAATCCGTTAATATGAAGTTTTTGCCAACAGAAAAGGGAAACAAGAACAAGTTTTGTACCAAGAGTAACTCTCTACGATTATTTCATGGGGTAGTAATTTTATATTAGCGCTGGTACCCAGTATCAGCACATCTGTATACATTGAAGAAACAAAAAACTCTTATAGAAGATAATTAAAATTTAAAAGGTGTAGCCCCAAATAGTAAATGTCTTTAAGTTATTCATACCCATTAGACATGCACATGCTTCTCTCTTCCGTGAAAAGTAAATGCAACAGTTCACCGCTTGGCATTATTCGGGGCATGGATTCCATTGATTCTCATACCCCTTAACGCAAGCAATATGGAAAATCAAATTGGCCACCGTGGAATGAGCGATAAGTGGTTCGATCTCTTTTAAGTGCTTAGATTCAATATGCTTTCTACATCAACTTTAAGTGGCGCTGGGCTAAAACCCCACACAATTGTCACAATCTTCTTATTATTCACAGCTCATTGCCTTGTACTTGCTGACGGCAAACAGATTAGCATAAGCCGAAAATTCATTACTAGATTGGGACTCCTACCCCACTATGCCTGCTTTGCTAAGGAAAAAAAAAATTACAAAAATACAAGAACGAAATGGGGACCTGTTGTATGTGAGTTGTTAAGCTCTGAGGTTTTATCGATTTGTTCCGATCATCACTTCAACAACGATGTTGGAGTCATGATTCTAACAGTAGCAGTTAATTTCCTAATTGGTCCACTGCGAAGTTTAAACCACCTCAAAAGAATAATTGAAGAAAATCAGGCATTTTAGCTCACATCTTCTGTCATCTCTGTGTCTTCAGCCATTATAATCTCCATGTCCCTAATATCTCGCTTCAACACATTGCCTAGTCTTGCAATGGCCTCAGTCTGCTGTTGTAAAACCTGTGCCCACATAACATGAAGAATCTTTCATTTCAACTTGAATGTATTATGAATTGTTGACAAAGAAGCAGGCGAAACCATGTATTGCTATGCCAAATCCATTTATTCCATAGACAGTGAAACCCTCTATATTGCTTTCAATGAAAATGTAACTAATAGAATAAAAATGGTCAGGTATTTTTATGTGAACTCACTAAAACAATGTTAGAGATAGCATAAAACTTTTGATGTCCAGCATGAAGAATCTATTATTACTGTTATAAAGGTAAGGACACATCAGTTGGACCCATGGCACTTACCTCTTGCATGTCTGCAAGACTCTGTTCATGTATTTTAGTTGATCCTGGAAGATAGAGAGAACCACCAGCACCAAAGGTATTTGCTTGAACACGAGACACAGTAAGGAGGCTTTGGACCCTCCTAGAAAGTTCCGCTCCAGATCCTTTCAGCTGAAAATGTGTTTATTGGTAAGCAATGATATCAGATTCAGACAAGCAGAAAGCATAAAAATTATATCACAGAAAAGTAAGACCAACCTGTCTTGTTACTGCAGCTAACTTCTCAGCCAACTCACCTTCTCCTTTCATTAAGGGTAATCGACAACCTTTACCCTCCAATGCTTCAACAATTCTCATTACCTATGGGAATAACCACACAAAAGTAAGTCAAATTGACTACACTAGAACTAAGTGCATGAATTAATAACACAAGAAGAACTAAATGTGTCCTAGATGATGCAGCTATGTACCTCCTCCTAACATCTTATAGCAATCAGATATTTTCAGGCCATCTGAAGTGAAAAACAACAGAAGAAAGACCAAAATTTTATACCAAAACCACACTTCACCACTATTTCAAGTTCACCAGATTGTTGACCACTAACAACGACACACTGGAAAAGATAAGCTAAAATCTAACAGTTGAACAGAAATTGTTCCTACCCTTAAAAGACGCCTTTGAAGGCTTTGCTCTTTTTGTTTCATTCTTTCAATCCATGGTAGAGTTTCAGCTTGAAAATGCCTTTGAAGCTGCAAAAAATTATCAGAGGTTATAAGAAATTTTAAATCCAAGATATACAAATAAGACTAGGAAAACATAAGAATACCGTTTTCACATTGCTTTGAGTAATTCGTAATCTTTCAGCATCTGATAGAATGACTTCATCCTGGACCTGCATTAAGACCAGTGTTAATACATTAGCAAGTCAGCAACTACAGACAACTAATAGAATACACTCACAGAAAGGAACAAGTGCATAAACCTCAAAAGACAAAGCCTTGAATTAAATTCAGCTACTATACTTGCACCTTATTTTTCATTACAAAAACAAGAAAAAAAAAATGGGGTAACTGCAAGAGCTGAATAAGTCATTACGCTACAGCAGGGCAGTCTTCACCTTGTCATTATATTTTCTTTGTCCCCTAAATGTACTTTACCTCATCAATATAAAACCTTTAACATATTATCCAGTGGAGCTTCCAATGGTTTTGTCTCAGCAGGAAAAAGACATACATGAATATATCTATAACCAAAATACTTCATACATCAAATTGAGAATGAAAACCTTGAGGCGGTGTGAAAGATCCTTGAAACCCTGAACAAGCTGAGGCCATAAGCGTTCTCTGTCTGTACTATCCATACCCTCTAGTTTTCCCATAGCTTCTGCCCACATGATCTACCATGCAAAACTATTCTCCACACTTAGCAAAAGAAAACTCAACGAAATAGCAACACAAGCTTCAAATTCAAATATCAACTCACAAGACAAGAATAAAGAAAAAAACACACTCACATCAGAAACGCCAGCTGGCTTCACCCTATACTGCGGTTCAGTAACACTGAACAACAAATGCTGCAAAATTAACACATTAAGTAAACAAAGAAAACCCTACTTCTCAAATAATCAAATTCCAAGTTTCAAAAGTGACGACAAACTAAACCAACCTTAAAAGCATATTTAGGGTTTGTAGGGTCGTCCTTGTAAGCATCAACAATAGCCTAAATGTATGCACCACACCAAAAAAAAAAAAATCAGAAATAAAAAAACCAAAACCTATGGTTAGGGTTTAAGACTAACACAGAAGAAAACAAAACCTGAATGTCGCGATCGGCGAGAGAGAAGGGGAGTGGGGCCACAGGAGCCATCTGAGTAGTCAATTGAGAATTTGGAAAGGGCGTTGGCTGTGACGGGGTAGATTGAGTTTGAAATCCGAATCCAGTAAATGCGTTATTAGCCGGTTGCTGAAAAAGCGGAGTCTGCTGCTGCTGTTGTTGTTGTTGTTGTTGTTGTTGAGGTTGTGAAGAGAATGGAGTTGAAAATAAAGAAGATCCGAACGACGCCGTAGACGGAGTGCCAAAGCCAGGTGTCAAAGACGGAGCACCGAAGGCTGGCGTTGAAGACGGTGTGCCGAAGGCTGGCGTCGAAGACGGTGTGCCGAAGGCTGGAGTTGAAGATGGAGTGCCGAACGCCGGTGTCGAAGATGGAGTGCCGAATGTCGGCATTGAAGGTTGAGCTCCGAACATTTTCGCGATGTTTGTGATAGTGGCGCCGGGCGTGTTTTGTGTTTTGAGTTGAAGCTAAAGCTATCTACTTCTAATTTGCTTGGCTTTTGGAATCGGGGCTTGGATTTGATAATAACATTTGAATTTAGCGGCCCGCCACGCCACGCGGTCACTAAGCCAACGAGCCAAGTTAGTTAACTAGTTTCTCTGTATATTATTACTTTCAGGATTATATGGAATATTTAAAGAAAAGTAATAATATATTTACAAAGAAATTTTACAAAGATCCCTATACAAAGTGATATGGTAAAAAATAAATTTAATGAGTTTGACTTTTTATTTCACTCTTTCATTCATTTTTTGTCACCTCACTTTGTATAGAAATCTTTATAAGATTTCTTTATAAGTATAATATTATTGTTTAAAGAAATATGTTTAGTTGATTAAAATAAATTAGTAAATATTTTGTTGGAAGGAATAAATTGGTAGGTATGTTATATAATTTACTAAATTATACTTTTTTTTAAATATTAATGTAATATTTTTTCATTATAATTTTTTTAATAATCTCTTTTACCCCCTTACGATTGAGATATTGTTAAAACACTTCATCTAGACACCTACAAAAAAAGTTTAAAACTTAACAAGAACACTCCCACCCAACCAAAGCCACTGTCGATGGCAGCGACAATGGTTGTAATGGCTCACAACCGACTGAATCTGATCATCTATGGGCCGATCTAGCCATTTCCAACCAAATCCATGATGAATCTAGTCGGAAATGGCCAGATCTATGGCTAGTATTCTAGCCGTTGACTATCTATCTGGTTGTCTAACGTTAACAAAGGCCATATCGTCTAGCCAAATATTTGGTTTGAACTTGCCAGATCAACGCATGACTTGCCATATCTGACAGGCCATGCAGCATTCCGACATCAAACAGCGGCTGCCACTGACTGATGGCTTGCAATGGTGGTCAAATCCGACCACCACCCTTGGGTAACATTTTTAAAGTCCAAGGGCATTTATGTCCTAAAAAATATGTATATAAGGATAAAATAGTCCTTGAATTTTTTTGCAAAACAAGGTATTATTGTCCAAAATTTTTAATAGTTGGGTAAAATTATAACAAAATTAAAATTATCAAGTAATCTTAAAATACCTAAGAAAATTGTGGTAATCAGATTACCTCATATATTACCAATAATAATGACTATTAATTTTGAAAGATTACCGAAATCTTATATTACTTAACAACTAAACATGATAATCAAGTAATATAAAATGACATTATCTCAGTAATGAGAGATTACTCCCAAGTCTCAACCAAACACCGTTCTTTCGTAAATATACCTTACCTAAAATTTGTAAAAGCTTATCCTTAAGTACCATTGAATTCATCTCTAAAATATCATTTAAATGAATAAATTCAATAATATTTAAACATAATCCTTACAAAAGTAGTATGTTAATTTATGAGTCCCAAGTTCGTCTTTTGATTACACTAGATGCTTTCAAATTTGTGCTTTGTACTATGCAGATGATTTCAGGTGTGTTTGTATTGTTATTTTGTGTAGGATTTTTGAAATAGTATTGTGAAGTTGAATTTGATTATTCTTATGAGAATAGAATTTGAATAAAATGTGTTTATAGTAGAATATTTTGACTTTATTCTTTGAGTTGAATGATTGTTGAATATTTTTTTAGTATATTTTTTTATAAATGATTTATTGATACAATATTTTAGTGCATTTTGTTAAAATAATTTATTATTATGACCTAAAAACTTATTAATTTACATTTTAATAATATTAAATATTTGATTGGTAATTTAATAACCACTTAATTAAAAACAAATTTCCTATATTAATTTCAAGTACTAATCCAATTGTTGACCAACAGCGTGTGTAATGGACTCCAAGTCTAGAAAAACGTCGAAACCTCCTCTTCTACTGAAAGTAGTAATCAATCATGCAACGATGAGCCAAATTATACTGACATTTGGTCATATGATCATAGTTTGTTCTTACCATTAAATTGCGTTGTTGAATCTGTAAAACAAATATATAAGTTAGACAAATCCCAAAAAAAAATATTTGGAATGATGAAACAAACACAAATCTTTTATTTTTCTTTATTTTTTTTCCAGTATTTTTTACTCCTAAAATTTCTCCATAAACTCACCACACAACACTCACCAGTCACCATCACTTTTATTTTTCCTTTTTCTATTTTCTGAAAAGTTTTTTACTTCTAAAATTTCTCCGTCTAACCACTCACTGTTCTTTTTTCTTTTTTGTTCTATCTTTTTTCCTAACTCCCCCCTTCCCCAATCCTGCGGCTCCCCCCTTCCCAAATCGTCCTCCGGTTCTCAGTTGCAGCAACCCCCAAAACCCATAACCAGTTTTCTATTTTATTTTATAATTTTTATTTTATGAAAACACATTTGTGAAAAAGTAAAAGACGTCATTACACCAACAAAACCTATCAAATTCACACCTTCTTCTGTAACAACACGAATTGGGTTTTGGTAGTGAAAGATGTAATACCCACATTCAGAAATATGGTAGAGATTATTTTATAGTCATAGTGAAAAAGTAAGGAGTACAAAGACCATTTTACCCTTATTCTTTAATTTCTTTCTATTACTTTACAAACACGTATTCATCTCGGCATCACATCACGTGTATTGTCCATAACCTTTCTACCACTCTATTCTCATGGCTAGCACACTTAATACATTATATTTATCATACTCACTTTTCACTTGAACATGTGATTCTATGTGAAATGACCATTTTGCCCCTATTGAAACTTTTATAGAATTCCTCTATAAAACTAGTGACTATAAAATAATCCCTACCATATAAAATAATCCCTACCATATTTCTAAATGTAGGTATTACAAACGAAATATGGTGCTCATTTCACGGATCCTAATAATACGCTTTACTGAAAAAACTTTACTACAATCACTCACACACACAAGCACAATACATAAACAACAAAACCACACAAACAAACATAATACATAAACAACAAAACCTGAGGCATATATGAAAGAAGCAAGGAGTTGTGCACCGAAATAGTGCAGATCGGCCTGATTGAGCTTCACAAGAGGTTGAATGCATATGGAAGAGAAGTTGTAGCGGTGGTTGGTGGTTGGAAGAAGACAGACTAAAGAGATAAAGAAGAAGAAGAAGAAGAAGAAGAAAGAAGGAAAAGAGAAAAAAAAAAGTTGCAGATGGCATGAAGAAAAGAGAGTTATCGCGGTGGTTGGTGGTTGGAAGGAGACATACTAAAGAAAGAAATAAAGGAAGAAAGAAGGAAAAGATAAAAAATAAAAAATAAAAAAATTGCAGATGATAGGCCTCACAAACAGAACGGTCAAATATGTCAAGAATCAAATTTTTTGGATACAATTCCCTAAGTAACAAAACAAATGCATATTCTGAAAATTGGAGCTCAAATAATATCATAAATAGTTACCCAAACACACCCTTCGATATTCACTGTCATTGTATGATTTTTCTTTTCTTTATAGTTAAAAATTGAGGATAAAATATAAACTTGAAGAGTCGATTTTACATAAACAATTTATTTGTTAGCCAAATGAATGAGTAACAAGTCTAATTGTTAGAAGGATATTGAATTCCCTCTTGATTCAAGATTACTTGATTTTAAAGGATCTTGTTATGTATGACTCAATATCACAGTTATAATAATATGGTTTTAAGATCTGCTAAAGGGCTAATTTTTGTCATCAAAGTCATTTCTTTTACATGAAATGCAATTATCGTTATCATGATAATGGTTTAAATACAAATTTATTATAGGATAAAGATTGATTCGCAACCTAGTCTTACAAACTCTCTCTCACAATCCCAACGTGGAGACTCGCAATTTGTCAGCTCACAAATGGCAGGCGGGATCCATAGCGAGCAAGCAAGACTCATTTGTAAACTGACCAATTGCAAGTTGCCACGTCGGGATTATAAGAGAAAGTTTGAGAGATCGGGTTTTAAGTATAGTATTACCTATTATAACGCCCACATGGAGGATTTAAGAAGAAGAGAGTGTCATCAAAGAAGATTCTAAAAAGGGTTGGATTGCTCATATCAAAGGTAAGTAAATCTCACCCAAGTTATGATTTGAGAAATCAAGTGTGTAGAGATTTTACATACATGTATATGCTTATGATTTGAGAATTGTTGATGAAATTGATGAATTATTGATGAGTTTGATGAATATTGATGAATAGACTTTAGCCATGAGAAGTGGTTTTGGTTGTATGATGATTAATTGAAGTTTGGTTGAAGTTAGAAAGAGATGAGTAGAATTTTTGGAAGTGTATTGTTTTGGACAGGTTTAGTAATTGTTTAAAGGAATTTTACTCCAAATATTGGTGGCTTGAGAAAGAGATAGAATTGTAGTCAAATTAGAGTTTGATTATGCATGCAATATGTTTGATGAAATGTCCAAGAGAAGTGTATGCATGAGTTTTATTCATTTATGAATTGATATGAGTTTGTAGATGGTAGAGAGAAACTTATTTTTATGCTACATGACATCCTTGCATTTAAACATTTGCATTTAGAAAGAATTATAAGCATGAAACTATCTACATGCATACATCTTCATAAGAGCATGAAAAAACACTAAAATATATTAAAGAGAAAATAGAAAGAAATGGTAATATTTAAGATATTCAAATCTTAAATTTTAGTTAAAGAAGTGTAAAAAGATAAAAAGAGGAGAAAGTTGTTGTGATGGGGAGCCTGTAAGTGACAAAGTCCCACATGCGCGCCGCCTTTAGTGAGCGGCCTCAGAATTCAGAAAAAAGAATTGTACAGTCCGTTAGAAGTGCGTATGGATGAAAATTGTACCCAGAATTAGAGAATTCACTCACACAGCCAAGGCTCTAAATCTATGCCTCAACCGAGTCCGATCGGCAAGAAAAGAAAGAATAGAAAGAAAGACTAGAAAAGAAATAAAGAAATAAAGAAAAAGAAACAGAAAATAGAAAATAGAAAAGAAAATGCATAATCTATGCATTTGTGCATTTGCATCATATATATGCATAATACCATGCTCATTATCGTGAGTAGTGAAAAATTAAAAAATTGAGAGAAAAACAAAGAGCAAAACCGAGAAAGAATGGAGAAAGAACATATAAAGAATAAAGAGTACTCGGGAAATGAGTTGTAAGGAAAGAAAATTCATGATTTAATCAACGGAGAGAGAAGGGTAGCATAGCAGGTTTACTTACTGAGCAATTAGTGCTCACTCCGTTATTTTCAATTTTTTTTCAGATAATGGATGAGTTGCAGTCACTCGGAATGTCACGCAGTGGAAGGGATTGGGCTACACTATCAAGTTGCTATTTTGAGTATATTTTGTAAATATTTGTATATAAAGAAAAATTAAATGTGAGCACATACTTTATTACTTGTTTATATGTGTATTTTCTTACATATATTTTTAATGAGTTTTATTGATTATTTTATGAGTATACTAGCTAAAAAGAAAGCATTACACCTATGACATATCTACACAACGACCAAGGAAGAAATGCAAGCGAGTTAACGATTATTGGGTGATATAATGGTAAAAGAACAAAAAAAGGTTTGATGAACTTTTGAATTCAAGTTCTCCCAGACACTAATAGGAGTGACCATTAAGGCTCTTACCCGATCAAAAGTTTCAGGGCCCTAAAAATTAGTGAAGATACACCCAAGCTAACCCAAACACCCACGGTAATTTAAAAAAAAAAAATGCGAGCAAGAGAAGGCAGTCAAGGCACTGTCAACCAGAATGCATGATAAGAAACTAGATTTCATCAATAAGTCTTGAGGCCTAAAAGATTAGTCCAATAGACTCGTCTAAAACCTGGCAACACATTGCCAAACCAAAACAAATAAAAAGTTTTTAACCTGATTCAATTAAAATACAATAAGCCAACCAAATCTGAAGAAACATTTTGGAATTTCGCAATGAAGCTTTACTTTCAAGCAATGATTGTCACACTGCACAAGCACAAACCAGACGGCTTTATCCTGGAGGTCTGCCATTCTGAACCTGGAGCTGCATGAGGATCATACAGCAGAGTGTTGTAACCAGGTTCTTCTTCTAGAGAGAAAAGCAAAAGCTTTCCATCCAGTATCCCAAATCGGAACCCAATGGATGAGCTACCAGTCAAGGGAACTGGCACCATCTTCCATGAATTGTCCTCTGGATCGAATATGGCCAATTTCCTCTGGTTTTTCCACTCCATACAGAAGAGCTTCTTTTCGATCACAGCATGAGCAGTGACCATGACACAACCATTCTTCATCTGACACCAGGCGTGCCTCTCAGGGTTGTAGACATCAACGAACCTTGAATTTCCAATGGTGAAGCTCGACCTTCCACCCATAACATAAAGTTTCCCATCAAAGCCACACGCAAAACAACCCCATCTTGGTCTTCGAAGACTCTCTATCAGGGTCCACTCGTCAGTTTCGGGGTCATACACCTCGGCACTTGAGAGGCTTTCTCCATCTGTCCCATAGCCTCCAACCGCATAAACCATGCCATTCACCTCAGCACAAGCAAATTCATAACGGGCCACATTCATGTTTGCCAATTTGCTCCAACTGAAATTACGGAAGTGTTACAAAGCTAGCAAGAATAGAAAAGCAAGCCAACTTTGAACAAGAATAACGTTTCAGACTGCAACAGCCATAATAGACACAAATAATGCAAAGACGCACTCCCAGATTAACCAACTTCCCACATCCTTCTACAATTTCAATTGGAGTCTACAATCACTTCAAAGGAGTTAACATGATTGAGGCCAGTGATGATAATTTAATTGGAAGTCCCAGTTTATAAACCATTCACCCAACTCACAACGTGCACAGAGACCTTCAAATCAGGGCGGATGTAGTACATGGCCCACCCCCAAATTTGATTAAAAAATATTAATATATACAATTTTTTGATTTTGGCCCACTCTAACAAAAATATTAATGTGTAATTAGTTTTTATTTTGACCTACCCTAACAGAAATTTCTGAATCCGCCCCTACTTCAAATGGTAATATTCTTAACTGGTAAAATATATCATAAATTTCCCCAGCCAAAGATATAATAGTAATCAAACAAATTAAATTTCTTGGCATCCACTAGCCTAAGATATTATTAGCAATTACTATAAGAGAAGTACAAATATTTCATAACTGCTCAAAAATTCTATTCCTGACAAGTGAAAATTGGCAGATCCAATAAACCATGACAAAATATTAAGGCCAGCACAGAAGATGAATGGAAACAAACCTGTTAAGGCAAGGATCATATTCGTAAACATCTGCAGAAGCAGAGCCAGTCCCATCAATCACTGAATAACCAGCCATTACAAGAAGCTTTCCGTTAATGACAACCACCCCAAACCCAGCCTTCACTGGACCAGGCATCAGTGGAAGAAACCGATGTTTGTTTCCCTCACAATCCAAAACCTCCCATTGGCTTTGCTTTCCTTCTGCATCCATAGTTAAGATGCAAAGCCATTCCTCAAGCAACCCAAGTAATTTCCTGACGGTGATGAATTCTTTGCTCCGGATATAAGACCTCCATTTCTTGGAGACAGCACCCATAGAGGGGAAATTGGAACGAGGAACAAGTGCAAGGATGTACTTTGACACGTCATCTGGGAGCCCTGGTAAAATGGGGCTGTCCAGATCATTAGCAACCTCTGAGGTTAAACGAGGATTGCTTTTCGAATGAGTTAATGTGTGTTGCTCGCTCAATGTGGAGAAACACATATTTGGTTCTGTAATTCTCTTCTTTCCACTTACAAAACCAGGCATTTTAAATATTGCAAAATGAGGAGAAGTTGATGATTCTTGTACTTGTTCAATTATATATTCCAGAGAACCTAACTATGCTTTTGTTTCAAATGACAAACAATTGATTAAAGAAATTCATGAAATCCATCACCTATGGGCATTTTACAAGACCAAGGCATAAAAGATGTTGCAGAACGAATCACTTGAGCAGTAAATGCCGAGGATTTTCTATGTTTTGTCCAGTCTGATTCATACTCCATACCAGAAAGTTTGCTCTTGAAGTAGTTTCTTCCTCTTAAAGTGGTATCTTCTAGATCTCTAATTTTAACTCTCCCACCACACATTTCCCAGATATCTACACATAAAAGGAGAAGATCGTCACAATAGTTTCAAGTATAAGAGTACACAAAACCCAGTACTTATCCACAAGATCATAAGAGTTGAGAGAATATAAAATTACCAATCAAGGCCATAGAACATAGCAAGTTCTAGCCCCCATTAACCTCCATTTCAATAGATTGTTTAACCACCTGAATCAATCGCATTACAAAAAGAACAGTCAATTAAAATTTACAAAAACTGGATGTTAGTTATAAAAGTGAATAAATACATAAATAGCAACGCTGACCATAAAAGGCAATTCTACCAGCACGTTCAAATTTCCAGTTAACTAACGTAATTATGGCTCGTCATAGATTTGACTACAGTTTTCAAAGGCCGGCACCTAAAACTAAAATGGCATACTATAATTGCAAAATCAAGCAAACAATTGTCAATTATATATATTAATTTGACCGCCCAACAGATCACTTGTTCTCCACTTTATCGAAGACAAATGAAATGGACACAATAAAGGATCCAAAAACCATTTCAATATTTCTCTTAACTGGTAATAGCATAAATCTCAACTTCAACAACCTACCTACCAAAACCCAAGAAGGTAAAAACCAGAAGAATGAATTTAACAGATCTCCATTACAAGGCAATATCACCTCCGAATAATGTATTAATAAACGGAATTGAATAAACGGATCCGACATCGATAAAGTCCTTAAAAATATTTGATATTGAAAAACAAAAAATCTGATTAAATGAAGCAAGGATATTAAAATCCAAATTCGCGGAAAAACAACTAATCAGATCTGAGTTGAATGTAAAACGTAGCTTGACAACTGGTTCTATCCCTATTATAAACCAATCAGAAATGCTAAGTTTAAGCGTCAGAAGTATTCAAACTCTTATATATTTGACCGACACACCTGTCGGACACAAGAAAAAACATGTCCGAATCCGACAAAATGTATAACGGAAGATAACAATCTTGAATAAGTAAACAGATCTGAATAGTCGAAATAACCATAAAGAACGCAAGAATTACCTGAAAATCGGAGGTTACGGGATACGGAAAAGCTGAAAAAGAGTTCGTTGAAGAAAGAGAGATAATGATAAATGAATTGTCTTAGGTTGATGGTGAGCTAAAAATGAGGATGAATAGATATAAATATATGGAAAGACTAGAAAAAAGGAGGAGAAGATAAAATTAACAGAGCGCCACCACGTCAAGATGAGAATGAGATTTTCACTCAAACCGGTGACGGTGAGGATAAATAGATAGATTATAGATAGAGACAGAGTGACGAGTATTATGTAATAGTAATTGTTGTGTTGTGTTGTGTTCCCAAAATAAAAGGGTGGCAAAATATTTTCTTAATTGCTTTGTCGAAATTTGAACTCGTGATCGTGGGAGATTATTTTAGTGTGCAGCTGCAGCAGGAGATAGCATGATGGTTTGTTCTGTATCTAATCTGATTGATGGTTGATTATCGTGTTGAGTGTGTGGTTACAAGTGGTGGGTCATAGTGAATTTGTTGATTGATGTGGAAAGGAATGTGGACTTTTGGGGTGAGGGGTGTAGAAAAGTTCTATGTAAATATTATATTATATTTAATTTAATTTAAATTAAATATTATTTTGGTTAGATAAAGTGGAGATGAGATGACTGGTATCCACGGAGTCGTTCTCTTTTCTTTATTTATTCCTTCGTTTACTGGCTAATATGCAAGATGCTTGTTTTAGTCTAATCTACTTGTCAATGCTAGTGTCCGGATAAGGAAATCGTGACGTGTAGATTTGTAGTTATTTGTTAGGAGAGTGAATTGATACATCGAATTAATTAATCGATAATCAGGATTATATCACGTTATTTGATGTATTAATTTGGTGTGTTTTTTCGATAATTGTAGCATTACTCATTACTAAAATAATAAACGAATCTCACAAACCTGACTTGGCACTTGAGTTAATATTATCATATCAACTGACGACTCTGATTAAATGTGAACGATTGTTTCTTAAGTACAAAAGATCATTCATTCATAAAGAACAGTTGTTATCGTAAGGAATAGTTATTTTTATGAATGTAACATTCATTTCTTATAGAACAGTTATTTATTCTTATAAAACAATCGTTCCTTACAAATGAATGACTGTTCTTACTTATAAAGGAACGGTTGTTTTTACTTATGAAAGAATAGTCATTCAACGATCGTTCTTTCATAAAGAATAATTGTTCCTTCATAGTCGTTTCTTACGAAAGAATAACCATTCATCCTAAAGAAACGATCGTTAATCTCTAAGAGACCACCGTTCGTATTTAATCAAAATTATTTAGTGTCTTAGATGTGATGAGAGCTACCAACTCAATTACTACACTAAATTTGTGAAATAAAGTTTGTGAGATTCGTTTGTGATCGTATCTTTATTCTTATTAGAATCTTTAATTGTATATTAATGAATTAACTCAAATAATTAGCAATAATAAAAATAGAGAACGCACCTATTTGCAGTACTATAAATTGATGGCAAAGGAATGTCAATAATTTTACATTTCAACAGTTGTTTTTGATTGGTCGATTGCTTTAGTTTTGACTCTTATGGATAAGGAAATCGTGACGTGTAAATTTTCAGCTATTTATAGAATCTTTAATGGTATATTTTATGATTTAACTCAAATAGTTCGCATTAATACTTTTGCATTTCAACCGTTGTTTTTTTATTGGCCGATTGCTTTGGTTTTGACTCTTACGGGTTTCTCCTATTTTTATTGGTAGTCGTACTACCAAAATTCCAGTCAATTATGATTTATGACAATATCATCAAAGTGGGATGTGGAATATATTCCCATTGAACAATTCAATCTTATCTTTCTATTTTTTTTATATTTTTTTTGTTTTGAGAGTAAAATGGAGTCACATAAAATAGAAATTAATATGGCCCATCAAATGTCAATTGATTTTATATAGGGAATCAAAGTGAGAGGGATCGATTGGTAATTTGAAAACTGACTGACATGGACAAATGAATCCAATTTGCTCTATATGTCCCTTACCACAAAAAAGTTGTGGTACAACCAATCGAAGGAGTCAAGTTCATTGAGATTCATATTAGCTCTCACGCATTGATCTTACATATTATAAGCAGAGTACTTATAAAAAAAAAAAAAAAATGTCTTCTCCATCTTATTTTTTTTTTACTTATAAACTCAATTTATAAGTTAAAAAAAATTATAAATAAACATGTCAACTTAATTTTAGAATTTTCAAATTAGTTTAACCAGTTTATAAGTTTAGACAAACACCTCTTAACAAACTTTCTACATCTTTCACGTCTTTGGTTGAGGACTAATCCTGCCATCTGGGGCGATGGATTTATTCGTATACTGGTACGCGTGGCTGCCACGCAATGGGAAATTTACCTAAGGACGTTTAAGATTTTAGAAAAACCTGGCTAATGAAACATAAATATATGAGTTGCTGCGTTTATACGTCGGTTGGGTCAGGTCGGGTTTAGTTGGGTCCAGAGTGTGGAGTCGGGTCAAATATGGCTGCGGTGGGCCATAGGATAGTGTGCGTTGCCGCGTTGGACCCCCACGAATGGGTAGGATTAACGCATAGTCAGTTGGGTAGATTAGTTGGGTCTACATTTCGAGAAAAAGAGACGCGTGCTTGCGCTAAGTGATGGGACCCAACCCTTGATTTTATAAACTCATTTGTTGTTGGTTAAAAATCCAGTGTGCGCGTCTGGCATTTATATTACCGTGGACAGGCAATTCTCTCCACGTATGCCTGACAGTTTCCACTTTAAGATTAACGTTACTCTTAAATAATTCGTTCAAATTAATGCGATAATATCACGTTGATTACAGAATATTATAATAAATAATTAATGTAATTTAAACAATTATTAAGGCAATTAATTGATAATTTTGAATCTCGACCATATATTATTAAGTATATCAAGGATTTAGATGTATGTAAATCCATAGATACAGTACAGACATCATCAAAAAACTTTTTTGTGTTACAGAATCATATCATCCGATAACTAAAGTAAGAAACATTATCTCAACTACAAATAATATAATATCTAATTCACTGGGCACATTATTTCATGTATATTCTCTTAAATATATACTAATTGACATATCCGTTAATGTAAAAGAATTAATAATTAACCATCTTTAGATAATTGACTAATTAGATAATAATTTTTAAATATATTATATTATTTAAAAAATCCTGATTTTGAATCACTTCGATTTATAATTAGAATGATTATTATTGATTTACTTAATCATAAATGTCTGCAAACTGACCCGTAAAAAGTAAATAAATAAATAAATTTGATAAATCGATTACACTATTAAAGTGCTTTTGCCCTTTAATGTTATGGGGAAAGTGGAAATCAACCTATAAAATAGGTGAGGGTGGTGGGTCACCTCACCGGTGGTTTAAATTACATTTGAGGACAAATCAATGATAGTATTATAAGCATCCTCCACACTTTCAACGACTCATATTCGGCTACAACAGCTGTTCAACAAAGGAAAAGGGCAGGGCTTGTCGTCGTGCCACACGTGTCACATTACTATTTGGGAATATCTCGATCTTATTTATAGCATGTGATAAATTTATTATTATATCCCACAAATACAATAGCGTGCACCAAACACCGCCCATTATGCTCTTATTAAAAACCATGCCATGCCTTGCAATCGTTCGATGAAATGTATCTAACACTATCTCTTACCTTCATCTTGAAAGAACCTTTTCAAAATTAAGGTAAGATGGAAGAATCTTGAAAATCAAACTTTTTCTTATTATTTTAAATTTTATATATAAAAAAAAAAATTAGAACGTAACCGTAATGTTGACCCGAAGATATTGACTGAAACAAAATTGATTGGAAATTAATACAGCTTTAAATAAACAATAACAAAGGTTGAATTTGATTCAATGGTTATTTTAAAGCCGACCATACCATTTTTTCAAGCAAAGAATTTATGGATAAAGAGAAATATCTAACATTCAATGTTATTAATGGTGACTCAGAGCCAGTGATGGAAGGCATTATATTTTATAGTTGAAAACATTTTCTCGGGTATAATTTCTTTTATTGGGGGTCGTTATGGCAACGGCAGAATGGCCTTTGGTGTTGCAAAGAGGGGTTTACATTCCCGGCTCTCAGCTACTAGTTTTCATGTTTTAAGGTTGAATTAAGTCAATTTAATTTGTTAATTGTTTTTCGAGTAAACAACTTTTTCCCACCCAAGGTTTTCATTAATGGCCCTTTCCCACCCAAAAAGTTTTAAAATACCACTTTTCCACCCAACGTTTATATTCCATTACTACCCAAAGTCGATTCCGGCCGATTCAGACGATGAAAATTCTCTCTTTCACCAACCTTCGGTCTCCTTTCTACAAAACTCCTCACTCCAACACCCAATTTATTGCTGATTGTCGATCACCACAAAGCTAAAGTTTCATATTCTTAGTTGATTTCTGACTAATTTCAACGGTATATATTCAATTGGTCACTACCATTTGATCCACCGATCTCTGATCTACAAAAACCCTCTCACCCTAACTTATAGTAACTCGGAAAACGTCAGTTGAGAAAGTGAAGTATATTTTTGATATTAAAAAAATATAAACGTTGAGTGGGAAAGTGGTATTATGAG